ACTAGACGTGTGGAAAAGGGGGAGGGTTCTGTGACGTGATTTACATGTACAGAATCCCTCTGGCTGCTGCATGGGCTAGAGTGGAGGCAGGGAGGTCAGCCAAGTGGCTACCGTGGGGTCCCAGGTGAGAGACTGGGTGCCTGAGACCAGGGTGCTGCAGGCAGAGGAAGGACAGAGAAAAGGGTGGATTCTAAACTGACATTGAACGCAGGACTTGTTCCAGGATCCGAGTCAGGGGAGAAGGAAAGCTCAAGGATGACTCCTTGGTCATCCGTGGATGGCCAGAGCAAGTGGCCCAACAATAGTGGCATCTGTGAGATGGGAGGATGGTGGGGTGGCCAGAGAGGTGGAAAAGAGGCTGGTGATGTGTGCATCCTTGACCCATGATGATACAGTGCTCTGAGTCCCAGGGAGGGGTCACCATTCCAGTGCTGTGGTTCCTCAGGTCAGAGAAGTGGCTGTTGGGCTGCTGGGACCTGGCAAGCACTGTCTCCTGGTGAGGGGGGAAGAGGAGGGTGGCAGTGAGAAAGAGGAGAGGGAGAAGACAGAGAGGGAGGGCAGGAGGCAGCAGGTGTAGCCAGCTCTTCCTGGCAGTGCCACAGTGGATGGAAGAGGGACTTAGGCCTTAGTGTGTGGGGTGACAGGGAGTTGTGGGTTTTGTTCCTGGATTTTAAAATATTTTTAAGATAAAAGAGTTATAAACATGTTTAAGTGTTGATAAAAAGAAGTGAAGGGAAGGCTGAAGATCCTGGTAGTGGGAGAAGGTGGTGGGATTCCTGGTGGCATTAGCCTCAGGAGCAGGACACTCCCCATTGCACCAGCAGCCAGTGGGGAGAGGAAGCTCAGAAGCAGGTGTAGACGGGTCTCTTAGACTGTGCCAAAATTAGAGCTGCTCTCCCCTGGGGGCTGGACCTTGAACAGTGTCTCAATCACAATGGAGCTGAATTTCAGAATAAAATGGGCCAGGGAGAGTTTACCAGGCTTTTATTTCCCATCTGTACTAATGCTAAACAGTCTTGGGAGGTCTTCCGCTGCCGCCCGCTGTCTACCTGCAGATGGCGCTCGTCATCTGATCTAAACTGCCCTGGGCCCTGCTGAAGTCGGGAGGACACAGAGGGGCCTGTCGCAGCCCTCAGCCAACAGTACTATTTCCCCACTCTAAGGCGGTCCCATCTCACCCCAAACCACAACTAAATCAGCACTTCCCCTAGTGCCCTCTCCCAAGTCTGGAAGTCCAGAACTTGACAAAAAGCTTCTCTTTTTCTTCATACCATCATTTTATAAGACAGAAGGTTGGGACTATTTCTGGACTCCTTCCAAGGACTTATTCAATTATCAGCAACGTGCCTTGCCACTCAAGCTCTGTTCCTCACTCCCGGGTGGACAAAGAAGGAGCTATCAGAGGATCAGATGGCAGGTCTTTGAAAACCAAGGAAAAAAAGTTCTGGAAGGAGCAAATTATTGTCTTCTCTCCTAAGTTATTTGCACCCTGTTGGTTTGAACCCTCCCCTCCCACAGCCTGCTTATCCTCTGTCAATTCTCTCTCCCCAGTGACTATCTGCTTCCTTCTCCAGAGGCAAGTGTCCTCTCAGGGCTGGGGGAGGAGGTGGCCTTGCAGCACAGAAACCACCATGTTCACATTCCTTGGCTGGACTCCACCTCACAGCCAAGCTAATCTTAATAGAACAGCCTATTCTGCATTTAGGGGCTGAACTTCCCTTTCCCTGCTTCACCTAAATTTCCTCTTTTGGCTTCTCTACAAACTTTTCTAGCCTAACATCAGGCACCTTTGAACTTCTCTATAAACTAGCATTGGGGGGCCCATCCCTCCCACTAAAGTGTAAATTGGGGAAAGGGCTGCTTTCCCTTCTGTCCTCAGAGTGTCGGGAACATCTCACGCCTACACTTCTCCTCACTTTCCTCCTGAAACGCCTGGCCCAGAACCCCCCAAATAGGATATAGCTTCAAGTCAAGAAGAAGCACTCCAAGAAGTTCAGCCCTCAGAGCAACTCACCCGATGGACACATTCAGGTTCTGGCCTCACTCTCTATGCTCACGTCCCTTTCAGGAGCTTTATCTTCTCCACAGGGTAAGTCTCCCATATCCCTCAGTCCGCCAGAACAGTAATCCCTAATGCTACATTCTCCCAAATAGGAGTCATTTAGGTTCACTAATACTTCAGTTGGGTAGGAGATGGAGGTGGCTTCCCAGGAGAGCCCCGAGGAGCCTTGATCTGCCCGAGTGTGTGTAAAGGCCTTTCCTGCTCATCCTATTAGGTAACCATTGAATCTGACACATAAACACCTGTCCCAAGACAGGCATTCTTTGTCAGAGAGTACAAACTGTAGCATAGTTTTTGAAAAGAGAGACGTATAATTTTTATTGTTTGGGAGTCACTGAGAGTACAAAGAATTAGGTTACACTGATTGCATTTGTTAGATAAAGTCCCTTTTATAATTGTGTTCTGCCCCCAAGAGATGTACCATACTTGGTGACCCCACCAATCCCTCTGTCTCCTCCCCTCTCCTCGCTCCCTCATTCTCCTATCCCCACCCTGTATTAGATCATCTACTTCCTTCATATTAGAATTGAGTACATATGCTTGATGTCCACCAGTCCTATGCCATTAAATATTGAGCAACCATTTCTTAGTAAAAAAAAAAAAAAGGTTGCATATGTGTATATGTTTATTATAAAATTTACTGCTGTAATGGTTGTATAGCACAAAATTTGCAAATAATAAATTATACAACTCGATTATAGTGTCTAAATAGCCAATGGATTCTCAACAAATATTTCAAAGATCTTTGCCAAACTTACATCTATAGCCAACCTGTGGTTGAAATTGATGAGTGAGTGGTTCTGACATAAATGCAGATTGACACTTATTTACATTAACAAGATGGAAATGAAACAAGGAAGACATTTGTCAGAACTCTTATTTGTCAGTGACTGTGAACTTCTTTACAGAAGTGAGTGATAGTTGTCAGGTTTTTTGTTTGTTTGTTTGAGACAGAGTTTCATTTTGTTACCCAGGGTAGAGTGCCTTGGTGTCACAGCTCACGGCAACCTGTCACTTGGGCTAAAGCAATCTCAGCCTCTTGAGTAGCTGGAACTACAGGCTATTTTTGGAGATGGGAGTCTCAACTGTTCAGGCTGGTCTCCAACTCCTGAAGCTCAGGCAATCCACCAGCCTCAGCCTCCCAAATGAATGATAGTTTTCAAATAATGCAAGAATATTTCCTCAATCGCTTATGCTTTTTACAATATAATGGCTACAGGCTGACTGGCTTTTAAATAATCTGCCTCATTCACAGGTCCTCCATCACTTTCTTAAGTCTAGATAATCAACAAAACAATAAATCAAGTCCTGATCTGTAGCGTTTGCTAATTCCATGGTGTCAATATGACCAATATGTACATATTTCCAGTGGCAGCATTCCCAGCATGCTGTCACTGAGCACAGAGTTGGGAAGAGATGAGCAGCAGCACTCTGTTATATGATATATGCCACACAGATCCAGCAGACGTAAATAACTGAAGAGCACAGAAAGTAGTAGAATACTCTCGAATAATTAGGAAATGATGCATGTTTGGTAATTATTTCCTTCCGAAAATACCATATAATCTATAAGGTATCCCAAGAGTTGCCACTAAAGTCCCCATACATAGAGAAAATGGGAAACTGTAGCTAAATGTACCTTTATTTACAAAAATTCATTACAAAATTGTAGAAAAAGGCAGCCAACACATGGGGAATATTTTGTAAAGATTTTGTTAAATTTTCTAATGCATATTTTGCAAATAAACAAATACGTTTAGCTACAATTCCTATTTTCTCTATGTATAATGACTTAGGGGTGACCCTTGGGACACCCTGTATTTAATTACAAGTTATACAATGTGAGTCTCAACAATGGAGTTAATAACTGTCCTAGAAAATATAACAATTTCTGGGGAGCCACTATGCACCAGTTGCAGCTCTACTCTTCTCCCATCAGCAGTAGTATCATCAGGTAGAACTGGATCCGCACCCCCCACCCCTGAACACAATTGTAGTAACACCCTCCTAGTCAAATAGTTTTAAGGCTGATTGCATCCTTCATTTCTATAATCAATCGGTTAACAAGACAAACATTTATTAATCTACTTATTATCTATTCCTTACTTTTGAGAAATCTACCTTGGAAAAAAATAAAAGCAGATTTCAAACAACTTTCTGTTGTTTATAAGTCTATGGTACTTTGTTATAGCAGAATGAATGGGTTAAAAGCAAATGACAATACCATGCCTGACAACAATCTAAAAATAGATTAAACCTATTTTAAATAGTATTAAAAATAGTTTTGTGAAAAAATTATTTTAAATGGACAAAGGTAGTAAAAAATTCAGTATAATAATTTATAACAAAAGGTTAAATATCTTGCCCAAGGGCACACAGCTAGTGAGCTCTACAGCTCAGCATTATGCTCTTCCTCCTTAGCATATACTATGCTGCTCTGCTCAGATCCCTTCTTCAGGGTGAT